CAGGTGTGCACATGCAGCTTCCATCGTACCAAAGGCCGCCCCTACTCCACCATCCTGCTTTTCCTCTATTTCTTCATCGGTCTAGGATGTGTTGGAGTCTTCTACATGCTCATCTACAGAAAAGTCAGGGTTGCATCAAAAGCCCTGCTCCGCTACAGGCTGAGTAAACGCTCTTCTAGGAAGAAATCTGCTCCTTCAGCTCAAGGGACGGACGATAGCGGAGTGGAAAGTGGTGTGGGGAAGACATGTAGCTCAGAGATTAGCAGCCAAGCAGAACCAGACCAAAGCACACATGATATCGAAAAGGCTATCCTCCCACCTCAGAGCTCAGCTCTACCCTTAAAGTCATCAGACGACAAGCTAGAGACCCACAGCGCTGCTCCTGTTTCACAGTCTGCGACTCCAGATGATAATGAATTCAAACGTGTGACCCGTATGTGTTTTGCCGTTTTTCTCTGCTTTGTGTGCTGCTTTGTCCCATTTATGCTACTAAACATAGCGGACAAGGAAAGCCGCGCCCCGCAGATGTTGCACATGTTCTGTGCCAACCTCACCTGGATCAACAGCTGCATTAACCCTATTCTGTACGCGCTCATGAACAGACAGTTTCGGCAGGGCTACAGCGAGCTGCTCAGCCGAGCTGCTGCTCCTTTCACCCGCTTCTGCAGCTGCAAACCATAGAGCCTACTTTGACTGATCCACGGGTCCACAGTGTCCATTTCAGGCTTCCTGGTTTCATGTCTTCTCTGGTTCATGCAACAGGGCTCTTTCTCTCAGGGAAAACATCCTCTGAAAGCTACCAGTGTTGACTTGTTATTGTGTTTATTAGGACTGGACTTACATGACTGAAAAAAAACTTATGAAGTCGATAATTATCAATGCAGATAATTATTAATACATTTTTTGTTTTAAATATCTGAAATGCTGTCAAAGCGGTGGCATGACCTTTCCTGTTTTATCCGCACTTTCTGCTCTACGCCATTGGTTTTTATTATTAAGCAGTTATGAGAAACCTTAAACTCCTACTGCGCCAAGTTGTTGCTAGGGAACCAAAGTTGGAAAGAATTTGAAACTGCTGGCTGCCCAGCAGGTTGTTCCTAGGTAACCAATGAACGAGTTAGTTGATTCCACCAACTTTGAGAGGTTGGTAGTCTTTTCTCTGCCCACATCTCCCACAATGCTTTGCGGTTCTGGATGGGAGTTCGTTTGATCAAGTAAAACAAAAAAAAGAAAAAAAGCTGATTTTAAATCACAGCTCCTTCACTTACATTCTTATATCTCATAGATATTTACATCTATTTTGAAGTATAAATTTAGGTCACACTTTACAATTCAATGTGCAGATACCTTTGTACACCACTATATGTTGTTTGTTGTGTAATAAATTGTATTTTTTTTAAGAGGTTGCCTGTGTCGTGACGTCATTCAGGATAAGAAGGAAAAGCAGGGTGCTTTGTCATTACGGCTTGTGGAAATGTCCATTACATCACACCAGAAAGAGCCATCGTTGCTTAACTATATATGTCAGGACAGTCCCAGCTGGCACAACACTCCAATAATTCAGGAACTTGCTCTGTCTCAAGACTGTCTCACTTGTGCTGACAAAGCATGACTAAAGCTCAGGGCTCAGGTGATTTGGCCTTTATGATGATATAAAATGGGTAGAATATGCATGTGCAGACATGCTAGCGATCTGTTGAAGCCTCCATCTGAGAACACAGACGACGTTGTCTATGGCTGTTTTCTTGACCCAGTTTTGTTTAAAACACTTTAACAGCAGCAAGCCACTATGTGACTCATAAAGGTAATACTTAGACACTCTTTCATCTGTAATTTACTTCTGTCTGTTGACTAAGTGATTCATGCACACAGTGATGACCTCTGTAAGAAAACATAAACATTCATGCAAAAATGATAACATCCACTCTGAAACATATTCAAGGTTACTTTAAACATCCTTATCAAGTTTTTGACACGTCATCTCAAGTTTTTTGAAATATCTGCCTAATTATCAATAATATTGAGTAAAAGCAAAAAAATAACATAAATAAAGTGACCTAATATTTTATCCTTCTCAAACTTTTGAGGTAGTAGCAAAAAGACAATATGCTGACAGTGAGTCTTTGCGTTGCATGTTCCTGTAACGTCTCTCACTTTAATAAATAATTATCTAGATTATTCTAGTTGATCGGCCGTCTATTTGAACAACAAAAACTTTGACTGTGACGGCAACAAAAAAAAGGAAAAAAACGTTTATAAACTTAAGCATCTGTTGGTACAAGTTAAGAACTCCACACTGAAATAATGTAATTATCTAGCTTAATGATATTTTGCTGACTTTTTATCTTTTAAACACAGAGTTTAGGCCGACATGCTCAGCTCTCTGAGCATTGTCACACTTATGTCTATAGGATATTAATATTATTGAAATTCATTGAGCCTGTTGATCTAAACCTCTGGACTCAGATGTTGGGTCCACTACCCTCCCTGCATGTCTCTGTGAGGTACTGCATCCAGGTCTCACAAAATGAAAAACTACGAACTGTAACTTACAACCGAACTGATTTACATAAAATATGACAGGGTTTTTAAAAAAAAGCTAAAGAAACAAAGCTGCAGTCTTTTAACAAAAATACATTTTTAGAGCAAAAAAATCAACTTGTTTAAGTATTTTCAACACTAAATGTACAATAATTAGTTGTCACTTCAGATCTACCCAACGATCAGAGCATTTAAACTTTAATTTCCTGTCAATATAAAATACTTTTAAAATTTAAACCATTATCAGTCCTTAGTTGAGTGATATTTCCAATATGTTTAACAGTGTGATGAATTATTCTATTGTCTGATTTGTACTGAGTAATTTGATCAGAACATCAAATTTACTATTGTAAAATGATTTCATCAAACAGACACAAATTATGTGTCAATTCTGGGACTTTTAAAACCTAAAATGAAAAGACTGAAAGACATATCTAAGAAAGTAAAAAGTATGGTGTCATAAACTACTTCAAAAATGTGCATTTTTTCATGTTATCCACACGTGAACAGCCTTCAAACAGCGATCCACTAAGAAAAGATCAAGAATTTGACATTTAGACCCTGGATTATCTAGAAATGGTTTTGCCTTTTTTGTATTTATTATTGAGAGATGATAAAACATCTATCACATGCAGCCCCAGTTTCAACTTTGGTCTTTTCGAGACTCCTTATGTGCAATAAACTAGATTACTGCTACACATTTCAAAACAGGAAAGTTTTGGTGAACTTCCACTTTAAGCCTGAAGCAACAAGATGTGCAAATAACAAAAAGGTGAACAAAGGCTATTGTTTCTTAGCACTGCTCGATTAGATGGAAATGTGTTACCAAGTACAAGATTTGAGTCTTCTTTTAGTATCCGTAAGGAAGCAATCTAATTGTATTTAAAATTCAGAGTTTTTAACATTTTCTTATTTTAATTTTGAATAATGTAATTTTTCTACAGACTAATTATGTGACACTACAAGTCTGTTTGAACCTGACACAGAAGTAGAATTAAGGAGTATTATACTAGGCAATATACATTTATTAGGCAGGGGATAAAAAAAAAAAAGTCACATTAATATTTTGTTTTTTCAAAATTCCCTGTGAGATAAATGTTCCTATCAATCTCAAGAAAAAAAAATAATGTAACTGAAGCACTCATAAATGTATTGTCTGTTCAAGTTTTAATTAGTAATCCATGACTTTCTGTCTTGTTTATTGTGCAAACGGATTGAGAACCTTAATGTAATGCAAATTATAAATTCTAGAAAAACTCATTAGGACTTCATCTGAATCCTGAATGCAGGTTTTTGAAAATTATTCAATGTGAGATTACGTTAGAAAAATTAACCGTGAGTTTAAGATCATCTGCACGTCTTTAATAGTTACGCCGACAACTTTGTCCACATCTATACCAAAACATTTAAGCAGAATATTCTTTTAACCAGATGGATATTTTTTATTTTTATGTTATGCTAAGTAAATATGTATGATCTGTGATCATAAATAACTTGTTCAGTCTGTAAATCAAGACGTGAGACAAATCAAATTGTTTCCTTTCAACAAGCTTTATTACATAAACCAAGTGAATTAAACTCTCCAGAAGAAGTACAACAGTGTATAGAACAACTGGATTTAAATCTGAAAAAAGACAGCTGATTAGAAACAATTCACATTTCACCGAGAAATATAAAGACTGAGATTAAATAGAGTACTACAGTAAAACAGACTTTTTACCAAAAATGACAAACTATTTGAAAGTGCAAGAGTAGAAAATATATGCAAAAAGAGTTTATACAGGTAAATAAATGTTATAAATGCAGAAAGGAAGAGCCAAGCTTTGGGAAAACAACATGTTAAAGGTAAAACAAGAAAAAAGGGTGAATTTTTACTACACTTTCACTGAGATTATGTTGATTAAATTGAGTGAATTCAAATAGACTATATAAAAATAAGGTAACACTTTATTTGAAGGGGCTTGAATAAGACTGACATGACACTTTCATAAACTTGACATAACACCTGTCATGAACATGAATAAACCTTCATGAATATTTATGACTGTTGTCATAAAGCGTCATTCGGTAAATTATGACACTTTTAATACAAAGTTGACATTATTCAAAATGTCTTTGTTATGACAACTTGAAATTAACAAATAAATCATTACTGTTCAAACTTTACCTTTAATAACATAAAGTTACCTAATTTTTAAAGTGCAATCAGTAATACTTTTATAACAAATTTATATCAGTAATGATTTCTTGGTTAATGTCAAGTTGTCATAACAAAGACATTTTGAATAATGTCAACTTCATATTAAGTGTCATAATTTACCGAATGACGCTTTATGACAACAGTCATAAATATTCATGAAGGCTTATTCATGTTCATGACAGGTGTTATGTCATGTTTATGACGGTGTCATGTCAGTCTTATTCAACCCCCTTCAAATAAAGTTTTACCAAAAATAATCAAAGGAGTGCCTTGTTCTAGGACAATTCTTCACAGGGTTTGTGTACTTCCAGCTAAAAACATAACAATTAAAAAAGTACAAGTTTGAACCCAACAAAAATAATTTAAGAGCCACATTTTCAAGATGAAGGGATCTTCAAAGTGCTTCATACAATACCTCCCACCATTAAATATTTTTTCTGCTCCTGATCTTTAAAAAATGAGTTGATACAATTCCAGGTTTAAAACCAGCTCCTTCAGTCTTTGACGTTTTGTTTGCATAAATATTAACGGGCGGAGAAGATTGACAACAACTTACCCACATGATAGGAAAGTCAATGAGCTGTTGTGTTTTATATTCAGCTTGTTCACTGCATAACAGTTCTATATAAGGATTTTGCAAATAGGGGTCAGCATATTAGTAAAGTTATGGCCGGCATACACAGATCTACTGGAAAATGCCTCCGCAAATTTGTGCAGGCAGGAGGCTGGGTGCTAAAAGGTTGTTGAAATCAGCCAGGAATTGGTCGGGCTGCTGCTGTATGAAGTCAGAATCAGTGAGGTTCGGGTACAACAGATAATTGTTGTCCAAGGGGTCAAGAGAGGAGCTGCTCAGCATGGGATCCTGAAAGGTTTCCAGCTGTGACTGCAGAAGACGAGGCTCATCCTCTTGTTCTAGGCGGGAAGAAAAGCCAGGAAAGAGAAAGTTATTGCTTTGATTTTGGTTGCTGTGGCTGCATTTGGGTCGTTATGACTCTGATTTTAAAGGGGAAGTGAGAGTGATACAAAATGGTATTTGGTCATGTGCACAAAATAAAAAAAGAAGGACTGATTCAGCATGAAAGAACAGGAGAGAAGAAGTTGAACCAAGTATAATTTATCACCTGTAGTTCAGGTAATACAGCAGCAGCAAGGCATAAACAAGTATGTTAATAAAACTCAAAACAGAAGATTTGAGGAAGTAAAGACGCAGTAAATAAGAAGTACTTCAGTTGAAAAGGTGAAACCAAGCCATTCATTATTTTATTAAACCCCGAGGCATTTTTCCTCGGGGTTTAATAACTGTTAACTTTAATGATTATCACTTCCAGCTAATGAAAAGCAAAAATTCAGTTCCTCTGAAATCAAAGCATTAAAAAAAGGATTATATAAAATAAATAAAAGCTTTCTGAAAAGTTTGTCTGTTTACTCCACTGTATAGACTCAATAGCTTTTGCATGAATTACTGCATTAATGCAGCATGGCATGGAGGTGACGAGCTTTGCCACTGCTGGGTCTGTTAAGGAAGCCCTGGCTGGTTTGACACCGCCTTCGGCTGGCCTGTGTTGTCTGATCTGCCACCTCATATCTTCTTCTTGGCAACACTTCACAGATTTGGAATGCAGATTAGGTCAAACCAGTCTATCATTCATCGTACTATTCTGGTAATTAGAGCAGGAATTTGGCGGTACGGGCTGGTGCCAAGTCCTGCTGGAAAATGAAATCAGAAACTCCGTAAAGCTTCTCAGCAGAAGGAAGCATGACGTTCGCTAAAATGTCTTGCTGGACAGTTGCTCTGACTGTGGTCTTCAGAAAACCCAGTGGACCAACACCAGCTCCCCAAACCATCACTGTCTGGAAACTTAATGCTGAAAATCAAGCAATGTGGATTCTGTGCCACTCTCCACTGTTCCTCCAGACTCTCGCACATCGATTTCTAAATTAAATTTAAACCTTGCAGTCATCTGAAAGCAGGACTTTGGACCAGTTTTTTTTTTTTTCATAGGCCTTTATTTTAGGAAGGTGTCGCACATTGGTCCTTTCAAACAACTTAACACTACATGGAAACAAGTATGAGTGTTTAACATAATTCTGAAAAAAAACAAAAAAAAAAACAATTAGAAGTATACTATTAGTTTTAGTTATCACATAATCATTTTTCTAACTCAATACCTGGTTCACTGCTTCATTATGCTAAAAAAAAAAGACTAAAATATCTTTAGTTTTCCCAATTAATCCCCACTCTTTTGGATGAAATGCAGATTTTACTTTCATGAAGTGAAATGCAAAAAGCAAAACCTAAATGCAGCCAGACTGAATGAACATGTTAGTAACCATCTCATGTAACCCAGACACCCGAGAGGTTTTGTGAGAGCAGAGGACAACAGGCATGAGCATGCAGAAGAAACGTCCCACAACGGGAGACATGCTCAGCGGTATCACAGCCATCACTTAGTGCATGCTCCCCACCGCTCCCAAACACCACAAAGTCAAACTAAAGCAGTTTAGCTTTAGTTTGACAGTGCTAAAGCAGACTAAAGCAGTGACAGAGCTCTCTGATGATGGGGTTGATTGGTTTGAAGGTTTTCAGCTGGATTTGACAGCAAGGAGAGCCAGGACTCACCAGCTGCCTCTCCATACAGGCCATTCATTGGCTCCAGGCAATCGCCCTGTGTCATGTCACAGGACATGGGTGACCTAGCTTCCAGTGAGTTCCTACATGACCAATGACAAACAGCCATTACAACCAGTAGCTCATATTATTAAAAAATTAAGTGGGTAAACTATTTCTTTTGTGTTTTTTTTTCTGTTATAAAAGGGAATAATAGGGTTGGGGTTTTTTTTTTTTGCTTTTTTTTTTTTTTGACAAACCAATGCAAGCCAGCCTCATTCAAGAAAAGAAAAACACTTACTCTTTAGAAACAAACATCAGCTTGGTTTTGATGTACTTCATGTAAGGATTGTCAGCTGAAAAATTCAGAGAAAACATTCAATTTTATGCGTTTGGCCACAATAACATGTAAAAATATCTACACTGCAAAACCTTACCAAGTAATTTTAGTCTAATTTTAGCACACTTGAAATAAGACAAAGCTAACTTGCAAGAAACCTTTCAGCAACATAAAGAGGCTTCTTTTAAATCAATAATTCATTAATATTGACGAAAAAGTACTAGCTGAATTGGCAGATAACTTTACTTGAAACAAGACATTTTTCCCATGTTATAAGCAAAATTGTCTGTCAATGAAAGAAGTGAATTTTCATCAATATTAAGGAATTAGTGACTTAAAACAAGCTCAGATCTCTTGATGAAACGTTACTTGAAAGTTTGTTTTGTTTTATTTCAAATGTTCTAAGACATTTGCACTAGAAACTAGTCCAATAGTACTTGGTAGGATTTTGTGTTTTTTGCAGTGTAAAGAACATTTGGGTGTAAATTAAACTTTGCAGAGGCATGTGAAACCCATACCTCCAGTCTTGTCAGTGTACCACTTTCCAAAAGCTTTATCTTTTGGAGTGTCGGGATACAGGAAAAGTAGAGGATTTTCCGGGATGTTTTCGGCTTCCAAAATCTGGAAATTCCTGATGATTTCGTGGAATGGGATCTGGCAAAGGTCAGTTTTTGTGAAGGGCTGGACCGTTTTTATATAAGGCTCACCTACAATTAATGACAACGATACAAGAGTGATAAAATAGAAAGAGTAATAAAACAGCTTTCATTGGTGTTGAATGTATTGTGAAATAAAAAAAATGTCGAACCAGTTGAGTCCATTTCCACCCAGGAGAAGGTGATTCCTCCCACCACACTTTCACTGAAGCGCAACAAGAAAGTGCCTCTTTTCTTCTTCTTGAGAAGCAGTTTTTCTTTTCCTCTGCTCACAAAACCCATAATGAGGCTGCATGTAGAAAGACAGAAAAAAAACACTTTACTCTTACTCTTTTGTGTTTGTTTTTATGTTGAATTATGTAAGGTGACCTTGATTGTGAAGAAAGGCGCCTACAAATAAAATGTATTATTATTATTATTATTATTATTATTATTATTATTATTAATTCAGAAAACCAAACTAGATCACGTTCGTCCTAGAGGCCATTTATCTAAAACAGGGGTCCCCAAACTTTTTCCTGCGAGGGCCACATAACAGTTCCCTTTTCTGGTCGGGGGCCGGTCTTAGTTTTTCGAGAAAGAAACGTTAGAAAACTTCTATTGGGGGGCAGGGAGCTGGATTACTGCCAACGACATATTCGCGTTTGTAGATAGATTTTTACCCAGAATGCAAATGGAAAAAAACCGTGAGCGAAACGGTGACTGGTATATATTCCATTGAGGGAAACTAAGTTTCATATCTGCTCAAGAGCCCCCCTGGTGGTTGAAGAAAAATCCACATATATATGAAAAAAATACACTGAATGCTCTCTGGTATTGTTCAGGGGGCCGGACCAAATGAGGAGGCGGGCTGGATCCGGCCCGTGGGCCGTAGTTTGGGGACCCCTGATCTAAAACGTTTGAAAACTGATTTTAAGAAAATCCCATATCTGCAAAATTCTGGTTGTTTTGTATAACATTTTGTATTGTATGTTTCAAAATAAATACCAAACAGCCACATACTTTACAGAACTTCTAAACATATCTACACAGCATGAAGTGTTGTGTTTTTCATTGGGATTCTATAAGAAAGGATTTATGCAAATTGTGTAATTGTGAAAGGGAATCAAACTCTGAAAATAAACATCTGAAAAAAATGTACCATGAATTTATATTCAACACCCCCTCATCTTTTATATATATACATATAAATCTGGGAAAAAAATTAAGAGCCCTCTGGACTGAACCCGATTGAAAACCTCCTGGTTTTTCCACAAAATACTGATTTCTGAACTCTTCCTGAGTTAAAACATTAGTTTTGTTGTTCCTAAATGAAGTTTTCTTTGCATTATTTGAGGTCTGAAAGCACTGCATCATTTTATTTTGACCATTTCTCATTGTCTGCAAATAAATACTAAATTTTAGCTTGGAATTTCGGAGACATGTCAGTAGATTAAAAGAACAACGTTTGTTTTACTCAAACATTTACCTGAGTAAAGTTTCTCTGATTCTAATCTTTAAAATCATTTTCATCATTTCAAGTGGCAATGGCATCGTTTAAACCTTTAATTTAAACGATGCCTTTGCATCTCTACTGTATTTTTAAGGTTTGAATTTCCACTCTTAGCTCAGCTAATATTCAGCCTTTCCCCACCACACATAGTGTCGATTCAAAGCTTGTGGTAAAATACAATCTGAGGCTTTATACCAATGCATGCCACATTTTTCAGATTTTTTGTGTAAAATAATTTGCGAACTACATATCATTTTGCTTCCACTGTAACTCAGTGTGCTAGTTTGTGTTAATTTGTCCTGTAAAATCCCACACATATATGTAAGTGGGATACTTTAAAATGTTAGCAGTTAAGTTTGTAGAAATATTGCTAAATGTTTCACGATAAACACACTTTAATGATTCATAAATGCATGATGAAATCACCGTACTATAACAGTGTTAAATGGTTGGGCCATATGTGAGGCCAATGTTGCTGTGGGGTATGAAATCCAGAGCAACTCACCCTTCCCTCCAGATGTTCTCCAGGTAGGATTTCACCATCGCCAGGATGCCATCAAACCACACCCAGAAAGTGTCAGGACCATTTTCCTGAAATTAACAGAAAAAAAAAATTATACAAAAATGATCAATATAACAGAATAATAATACAAGTTGTGTAAATGTAAAACGTTCCTAACATTTCCAAATGTGCACACTAACTATGATTATACAGGAAAAAATGAAAGACAAATTAGAGTTTAGGTGCATAAATGCAAATGTTGCATTAAATGGTGACGTTGAACATTGTAAAACATTATTTTGCAACAAATTATCTACTTTCCATTCTCACCTTTGAAAACTTTGACCATGTCACTTGGCAGATGTCGTAGTTCTGCTGCTTCCCTGGCAGAGCACAGAGAGAAAGCTGCATTATTCATGTCCATTCAGGTCCACTAGCTCTTAGAAAACATGTCTGAAGCCAAAAACACTGAACTGTGCTGCACAACCCTTATCATTATGAATTCCTGTGGAAGTCTAGGCAGGTTTTTACAGTCTTCTGCAGACAGCTACGTGAAAAACATAAGCCCGCCCACTAGACATTTTAATGTCTTTAAATGACAAAATTACAGCTTCAGATGAGCACTGATGCATGGCTTATTGAACTGACTTATTTAACAGAGGACAAAAAGGCTGCAGGGGCAAATGCTTATTTCATGAAGTCATGGAGCTGGATAACGTTTGGGAGACAGATTTCACTTGGACGAGAAAAAAACACTTTGATGTGACAAAATAACACAATGCTGTGTTTTGTCTTGTTTTTGTTTTTTCCAAAAATAACAGTGCAATTAGATGTTAATGGTAAGCTAAACGTGTCATGCGCCGTGTATCGCTCATATTTAAATACCTGTGGGTATTTTATTACTTTCTACTATAAAAAAAAACCTTAAGACAGCCACAAGGTACTTTATTTTTACTGTATGTAGTTGCTGCAAATCTAAGCTGTTAAGAATTACACTTCACTTCTTTATTCCCCAACAAAGAAGTTTATATTTGCCAGCAGTTTAGTCTCAGACTGAAAGAAAACAAAGATAATGCTGAAAATAAAGGATGTAAAAAATACCAGAATATTAACTTATTATTTCCCTAGTATTTAAAGACGTAGCTACAGTAGCTATTACTGACACAACTAAGGTCATAAAAATGTTTTCCTGTCCTGGATCTTCCATGTAGACCTTAGGAAAATAACTGATACAGCTGCAAAGAACAGATAAGTCAATGTTTTTAGTATCAAAATGCCCTTTTTTAATCCCAGAGAGAACACAGAGAGCTGGAGACCTACAAACGTTACTCAGTTACACCAACTAGGGAGGATTATAAGAATTGGACAAAATATTGTGAGAAGTTTAGGAAGAGAAACTTAAAACATTTCACCCGGGTCATACAGTTTGAAGGGCAATTGCACCACATAGCAAGGAAATGTATAAAACCTCTGAATTTCAAGAAAGTTAAGAAACTATCTAAAAAAAATTATCTCTTCTTTTTCTGGCATTCAGAGGTAATTTTGGTAACTGATCTAAAACTGGGAATGTTTAATTTAATCTAAATTAATCTTAGGTTATATTATGTCTGACTGTGGGAAAACATGTCTATGTCTTTTTAAATCGTGTATATAAATATTTTTGTTTCAATTAAGTTAATGATAATTTAAAACGAGCCTAATAATTTCCATTTACATGTTTGTTTTTCTCATGTCTCTCCTTCTACCAAAGACGGACTGACAAAAGGCTTCAGTCTGGTGCACTGATTTCAACTGGCCCCTTTTTTTGCAGGACGATTTGGTTTAGAGAGATTTCAGTGTCCATTTTATTTGTTGTTTTGTTTAATTATTTTGGATATTTAAAATGTCTTCCGATTCCAGTGTTAAATGTTTGTTAGAAATGTAAGTACTTGCATTATTATGTAATTACCCTTATATTCCTTGAAAATCAACTCAAAACAAAATGATTGTGAATTGCAATAACTTCTGGGACAATTTATCTTCCAGAAAAAGTCATTATCCTGACAGGCCTAATTATACATTACAAACGACACATTTCTCTCAGAACAAACTTCTTAATTAACTTTTCAAGCATTTACCAAACAGCTTGTGTGCAATCATTTTGCGCTGATCATCATCCAGACCACGTTTTGTGGCAGAGAGAAACTGCCAGCTCAACATCTCTCCAAACTGCGGCCAAGGAGCTGCAGGAACGGTGGCGAAGAACATAACATCCTGGGCAAAGATGTGGATATTAACATTGTTGACATTGTTAGCAATATGCAAAGTGGTGTGAGGTAAAGAGTGCGACTTTTCACCTTTGGATCCAAGCTAAGCATGTTGAACCAGAGGATAGACGCCCAGGCACTTTGCTGCTGGCTGGAGTTTGATATAATCACCACAGGAAGGGAGGAGGCCTGCAGGGGGGAGGAAAGGACAGGTTTAGTGCAGGTCGTGGCTGTGCTAATGATTAACATCTCTGCTGTTTGTTATTAAGAGATGTAAATCAAAAGAAGGAGCAAAAACCTCACCTGCAGCTCCACTGAAAAGCCCTTCAGGTCAAAGACAGTGTTGAAGTAGATGATGTGCAGCTCCTCTGTAACACTCAAAGAAATCTGTCCAAGAACACACCATCAGATCAAACCCATGACGAAAAAACAACTGAGGGTTTATTGATTTAATTTAACTCACCTCACTGATTCCTTTTCCACCCCCTCCAGACTTCTGCTCCCTCAGAGACTAAAAAACAAACACTTGAGGTTAAAGTTGTTCTGGCTATGAAAGTTTGCCAGTGACTACTCTGACAATTTGACAACATTTACTGTTAAACATGGATGTCTCACTGTGTTAAACTTAAATGCTTTAGAAATATTAACTAGTTAGCATTCACAAAGTCTTTTCAAACCATTAATACCCACCAGATGTCTGAAGTCTGCAACCATGCCTCCACTAAGACTCTCAGCCATGTTCAAATCTTTGGTTGCAGTTCCCAGCACATTGAAGCGCCGATATCTACAAACAGACCCGCCATTAGTGGAAACAAAAAAAAAAAAAAATCTACCCAGATGTTCTTGTTAGATTGAGGCTGGAGAGAAACAAAACTCACCCTTTGATCTGAGGAGCCTCCCTACATTCAAGGACACAGAGACGAGGGCAGCGACCAGAGAGAGGAAATAACAAGTCATTCGTTATCACATGAAGGAAAAAACTAAAGGCAGAGGATTACTTCTGTGAGCGCCAATTAAAAATGTCTTACCTTGACATGGATACGTTCACTTTCATGGAGTGGTTCAGTTCAGCAAACTTAACCAGAAGTCTAAGATTTGAAGTGTCAAAACAAAGAACGGCTTAGATTGAAGCTTATAGTGCAGAACAGTGAGGTGATAGATCTAAGTAATATTTACAGAAACAAAACAGCAAACAAAAAAATCACTCAGAATTAATATTATTATTATGTGATAAGTTACAATAAAATTAAAATAGTTGTAAATTTGCATGTTTCATAAGTCTATAGAGATACACGAATCAAATGGTCAGAGATCGGATTAGGATGATTTTCTGCTCTGATTGTTGATCACAACTTTTGATCTGGTATAAAGTATTAATAAAGATAATCTTGTAATTTGTCAATTTTCTCTGGATTCAAAACTAGAACATCTATCAAAGAACCTGCAGCACTTGCTTAAGTTTATATGGTTTTCAGGGGAAAAAATCTGAAAGTATCAAAAATTGTTTCAGCAAACCAGAATACAAAGAAAACCATTTTGCACAACTTTATAATTACAACTCTGAAAAACAACCAATAACTCTCAAATATATTTTTAATATGTATAAATATTCAAAACACTTCACATGGTGCAACACTGACCTTGTCTTAACGGAGAACTGGACATTTGTACGCAAAACCAGGGGGCCCTTTCCCTGAGGCATGGACGGCTGAGTCTCGACCACAAACGAACTTGGAAGTATCATAAAAAAATATATATATATCAGAGGATTTTCACAAAAAAACGACCCCAAATATCAGCAGAACAAAACAAACTGCCTTGTAATGGCATACCTCTTGAGTAAGTCTTTAAGAAGAGCATCAGTTCTCTTATTTAGTGCAGGTTTTTGGGCCTTTATGGGGTCGTTTTCATAGGACATTTTTCCCATTAACTCGTCCAGCTTATTGAGAAACTCACGGACCTGGAACAGGCACATTGCCATGCAGGTGAACCTGGAAGACAAAGAGAATCAAGACTTAAAAGCTGTAGATGGAAATAGCTCATTCATAAAACTTAATTTATAAGGGGAGAAAGCATGCCATTTTTCCAGCTGATCCAGGCAAACATTGTCTGGAGCGCCGATGCAGGATTTCTGCTGCCTCCTCTGCCAGTCCACCAGCTCTTTCCGCACCAACAGATTGATCAGGTCTTCAGCCCGGTCCAAAAGCTTGTTCAAGTCTGCTAGAGTGCTCTAAACATTAAATATACAAGATAAATAAAACATTTATACAATATGCAGGGAAAAACAGAGATACACTGATCTGGCTTTTCATGTTTGATATCAATTTGAAGTTTTTCTTGAGGTCTGAACTGCTGATTCCACCAGAACTAAAACCCATAACTTGTGCTGTAGATTCCTTAAAATCAGCAATAGCTCTTAATTAAACATGATAAGATGAAATATAAGTGCCTAACCTTTATCTGACTTTAATGAATTCAAGAAGAGTGCATCAGAGTATAAGTTTATAGACTGAAAACATTAGGAATTCTTTTATTAAAGCTGCTTTTAATCGCTAGTTCACAATTAGTAAATAGTAACAGCTTCCTACCTTCCTATACTCATTCAGTTTGTTGACTAGAGACTGAAACATTTTTATCCGTTCATTCTTCTGTGCCTCATCTGTCACAGCTGCATGAGAATTTCCATTGTGGGTTGAAAGTTTCCATGTAAGACAAAAGAGCATGAAGCTGTGATTCAGACCACAGTATTACTCAGTGTCAGAGAACGAAAATAGAATTAGGAGTCTTTAATGTCCTGACCTTCCATCTTGTGGGTTTGATATTTAAAATCAAACTCATCTTGCTGCTCCTCCAGGCATATAATTGCATGTTCCAAACACTATGTGCCAAAACGTTCAGCACGAGACAGAAAATTAGAAAAGATCAGTGAGCACGATATATAGTTTATCAATACAGAGCAAATCAGTCACAACACAAAATAACACTGTCTTTACCTGCACATCGTTCCTCAGTCCAGCCATTTTGCGTTCAAGCTCCTGCTGACAGGTCGTCTCCATGGCTTCCTGCTCAACTTGCAAAAGCTGCACCTGAAACAAAGGAGCGGAGTGGAATTAAAGGCTGGGAAAACCTACAACAATGTGATAAAGTGTTAGTGTAAAAATATCAACAAGCAAAAAGTACAAAATAAATAGCAGCAATCAAAACAGTCTTTGAATTCAGACTGCAATGTTGTGCATATTGATATTGAAATTTAATGCATTGTGCAACACCAGGCTGACAGATCTCAGTCAGGCATACATCAAAAGAAACATAAACAGTGAATGCCACTTCTATTATTGTGTTGTGCAGCAGGTGTGGTATGTCCCCTTTTAGTTGCATGTACAGTTGTTTTACTAACATACATTCGTAAAATACGAGTTGCCCAAACCTGTTCACTCAGCTCGGCACTGTTCAGGATTTCCTTCTCTTTTTCCAGAAACCAATGGATTGTGCTTGCCAAAGCACAGGGCTCATCTTGATACCTCTGCAAGACACACAGGTCAGGTGAGGATTTAAAAAAGAATGAGGAACCGTTACTGCAAACAACATAATGCATGTGATTAGAGCTGCAATGTTAATTACTTTGCTAATGCTTATCTTTACAACCAAATACACTTGAGGTGACGTCAATGGGAACTCAATGTTCCCTTTGAACATAATGCAAATATATATAAAAAAAAACTCAGAGCAACTCAAAAGAAAAGCAAATACCTGGGTGGTTCTTATTTTTACACACCTGGAAGCTTTGTTTATAGCGTCTGATGTTGTGCTGCTGTAAGAATGACTCCTCCTGAACAAAGCGGCTGTGCTGGATATCCAGATTCTCCAGCAGAACCTGGTACAGCACCATTGCAAGGCCGTAGTCCCTAGCTGCTCGTTCCCTGAGAAGAATTAACACACCATACAGACGGGGAGTAAGTTATGTGCAAGATACAGTGTAGTAATAAATAAACAACATTGCAGGTATTAGTGTCTTACCACTCCTGCTTCTCTATCCAAGCCGAGAGGTAGTGGCGAACATCCATAGGCAAACCATCCCTGTCATACAGCTCATGAAGCTGCTGCCAGTAAGTAGCAGAGAGCTGCCTCAGTCTGTCCCACTGGGCCATCCTGAGATTCACTGGGAGTTACAACAACGTGCAAAGAAACACACAGGCTGAAAAAACAAGCAACAAGCAACTGATCTATTACTGTCAGTAATGGCTTTCAGATAGATCTGACAAGTTGTAGGTCACATGCGAGGGAACAAAGTGCAAAGTATTGAACAATCTGGCGAGTTTACTACACTTATTTGTCCCACAGTAGGGAAATTCAAGAGTGACAGCAGCAAAGTGTCTAGGCATCGAGGCATGAAGGTTCACACAACGATACAAATATTACACAAAATACGTAATACTTGACTGCAACTTCTTTTTACAGTAACATATAATGACCGCAACTACATGCTACAAATCCACTAATACTGATTCGAGTTTATTTCCCGAGCTGCAGGAATTTCGAGGACATGTCAACACCTTTAACCGCGTTAAGCACCGCAGTAGCAATATGTTTACTCACCTTTAGTTAAGTTGTCGCAGTCCACGTAATTATCCAAGTAACTAGCAGCTAAGCTAGAACAAATGCATAGCCAGCAAACACTTTAGGCTTCGCAAAGAGCCACAGCTGCTGCTGTATGTTAGTAAAACAACTACCGAGTCGGAGAAGGTGTGTTAATGTTATTTCCCCTTTCTTTTCCTCTTGTTCTGTCTCTAATTGGACAGCACTTTTCCCTCCTAATATGTTATCGAGAGAGACCCTCAGGCGCCATTTTGGCTCTTGAGTATCAGACGTTGGATGAAACCCGAGAGCCGAAATGCCGTTACCCGTCACACAGTTTCCGTTCCAGCTCCTAGCTAGGACCTGATTGGTCGAATCGTTCAGAGGCCACTGCATTTAATTGGCCAATTTTCTACGTCGATCAATAGGGAGGGGAAGAGACAGCAAAATAGAAACTTACGGCGCTGTTGTTGCCATTATCGCTTCCCAGAAATGACGTCGAGGAACCAAACCCGAGCATGTGACGCACCAGAAATCACATACAAGATTATTTATTTAAGCAACGGTAACTAAGAACATTTAATTGAGCTCCACCTTGCTTCCATTTCAGCTGCTTTGTATGTGACCGCACACAAAGTAAATACGTGACTTTTATGTTGTAAATGCATTGTGAGCCGTACTTAGCTTTAAGTGAAATGTTAAACAACTTGTTCCTTTTTATGTGATTTACTATAGCTTGTAATTTACCCTATAATGACGTTAAAGTAAGGTATTACTATGTGAAATTGGTGCATAAAAAGTTAAAGTTAAAACACATTCGACCAAATATTTCACATAATTTCGATTTTTTTTAAAAATTAAAAATTATTTCTTACTTTTGTTCTCAATAAAAAAAAAAATCTGATTATTAATTACTCCCGGTAGTGCCAAGACACATCACATCCCAAAGAAACTCTTTAATCTGTACTAGACAGAAAAAGAAAAGTAAATGTGCATCTGTTGCATTTCTGCTCCTTGATAATTATTAGCATATAGTGGATATTATTTTAGAACCATACATTTAATTGACATCAAATCACTAGATGTTTTTCTTGTTCAAAATTATGTAAAGAAAGCAAACTTTCTAATCCATAAAAACACTATTACAGAGTGTACATATACACATAGTCTGTTTTCTTTACATAGGTAGGCTAGCCCTTGTCTTTGTCTCCATTTCTGCAACAGCATAAATTCTTTGCATGCCTTTAGCTGCAATTGTGAGTGTCAAGTTCACATATTTACATAAAATGATACCTTTGGGTTTATAACTCATAGATTTATTACATTGGTAAACATGTACATAGAGCAAAGATCACAGAATAACTCACAGACTACAGTGTCAGGAGTGTAACCTACGTAGTAGGTCTGTTGCTCACTTGGGATGTTGACAGAAAACTTAAAATATGCACCAATGACTTGTTAAACAAATGTGCAAAAGTTACCTTTTTATACACATTGTCTTTGTGTTATCAGAGCAGCAGGGAACACCAGGAGTCATTTTCACTGGCGTAACACAGCAAGGGTCAAAATACACAAACCACATAATTTACATGGAAAGAGTTGATAAAGATTGGGCTTAAATCATGCAAATCGTAGAAATTTCTCTGTAGTTGGGTTTAAATTAGCCACAAATGGACATTATGACAGAATCTTCAAGTGGAGACGATGGTTGTTTAACCAAAAGAAATCAAGTCCTCAAACGTATGAGAGCTTGGGGATTCTGTATTGATTTGCAGGGACATTCAATCAGACATATGTCACCTATGTGTTCTGTCTTGTGTAACAAATACACAGAATGTTTGGGTGCTCTCATGTAGCCATCAGTGATGACA